AAAATAACTATAAAAATGGGATTCTTTAAAAGAAAATAATACAAGCAGAGGAAGAAGTTGGGTACGTATTCAAAAAGCGATGTCAGTAGAATTTAACACGAAATCTGCAAATCCTATGAATGAAAACCCTTGCAACGCAGAATTTTTAATTACTTCGCAGACGATATACTACATTTTCTTGTTATAACATTATTCTACTCATTATATAGCCCTTCTACAAATACTTCATCGCTTTACAAGCAAGTGAGCAATTTCGTTCTCGCAACGCGACTACCTTGCATATTGTGCCGCCGAGTGTAAATTATTTCTTAGAAACTCCAACCTACCATAAACCTCATGTAACCTCTCGTTCCACAATTAAAATATATGCAGATCCCCGCTTTAAAAATGTTCCACCGAATTTCTCGCAGACGTCCGCGGATTCTTGCCCGTTTGTTTAGCGCGCGAAACGAGCGGGTTAACCGCAGCGGCTCACGGCTCAACAATTTCCGCGGATAAAAGTCGGAATGTACAAGTGGCCGGGAAACAGCCGTCTTACGGCCGCGCGTGAACCTCGCGAAAACTTTCGACAAAATTTACCTTAATTAGCCGGAATATCGTCCGGGCAGACGGTTGCCTCTTCGACAAAATTTTTCCCTAGGGTCCGACACTCAGAGTCGAAAAATTTAGTAACATTTTGGGTGCTCCCTGAGGAACGAGGGAAATACTCATATTAAACTGTCACTATGAACTGCTAAAAGATGATCCTTTTTAAATGATATTCTACTGTATTTTGGCTTTCTTAGATTTTTTTTCAATTTTTACACTTATATATTTATAATTGGAATATTTAACGATGTTTGGGTGTATTCTTTAATCAGTAACAGAAATTAAAATAAAACTTTCACTGAAAAATATTTATAAATATTCGTTGTCTAATAATATGTATTTTAATACGTTTTGTTCTTGTTTAATAACTTTTGTTTAAAGTTTTATGTTTAAATTGATTTATTCTCTTAATGCTATGCTTAATGTTCTTGGAGGTAATTAAGATCATAAGTACGAAACTTTAGATTTTCAGATTCGAAGATAAAGGCGAATAATACCGCTAAAAATTATGATGGAATTTGCAGTTTAATTAAATTTCATTGTGTAGCCTCAGATAGCACTGTTTTTACTATACGTAGGTAGAAAGTGGAGAACTTACAATTAGTCGAATACTCGTCTACAACATAACATTTCTTATGTATGTGGGCTAATTAGTAATCAGATCTTTTGGAAAGTTTCTTGCATTAGCAATTATAATATATATATATTATAATACTTAATATATATATATTATAATATATATTATAATCATTACTTTTAATCAGTAATGATTTGTATTGCAGAATAATGCAATAATGCAAGTGTTCTTTAAACAATCATGTTGAGGGAAACGTACTAAAAGAATATGTAAAACATTTTATTCATTTTCTTTATTTTATTCGGTATTATTCGCTCAATTTTTAATCAATTGCTTAATTACTTAATCCTTAATAACTTTTCTCAATTAAGAGAAAACAGCGTTTTTGATTTTAAAAGTGAAACAAAAAGGAAATATTAAACAATATCGCACGCTATCTCGAATAAAATCTCCAGTAATCGTTAAAACATTATGCAACTATACTTTCTCCTATGATTTCTATACGAAAAACATCTACCTTATCGCAACATATATATAAGTTTCATCTGAAATTCCAAACTTTTCGAGTAAATTAAAACATCTTCAAAAAATTGATACATCAAAAATACCTCACCTTCTCAGAAAAACTTCATAGAATCACTATTCACAAGAAACATTTCCATATGTTTCACTGTTACCTCACAAAAAATATTCCAAATTAAAATTCGATATCTTCCTCTACCATCAAGACTCTCAGAAACTATTAACATTTAAAGAAGACAGTTTCCAGGTGGTTATTGCTGTACCTTAACCCATAAAAATCAATAAAAGTGGTGCGTTAAATGCAGAATACGTTGAAAGAAATAAAAATTTGTTACACCACGTTATTTATGGAAACGTCGTTAAATTCTTCGGTCCCGGCAACTACGCATCGTGTTATTTTTTTTCCTCGCGTTCCTCGTCTTCCCTATTCTCCGGTAACGCCTCCGCGGGGGCGTAATTTTTCAAATGAGTCCGTGGCTGGTTTCTCGCGACGGAACACGGCCTACATACTCGGCTTCTCCCCACGGCCGCTGACTCTCTTCCGAACCCGGAAAGGGGATTTTTAACTCCTTCGCTGCGGAACGGTCTCCGCGGACGCACGTATTGGGTCACCGGGTCAGCCGCATCACTCGACTTCATTATTATACTGAACTGGCGATCCCTCTATGGTTGGCTCCCGGCCATTTCGCAACGAAGAATCGACACGGGAGAAGAATTGCATTGATTTTGCGCAAATCCCATGAACGAATGAGCGATTGTTCGCAGTAGCGTGACGGAAATACAAATTCCTCTTTTAACATTCTTTAACTTATGGAATTTATACAATGCGAGATGGTGCTTTTGTTCGATAACATTTGTACGGAGCTTTGTGAATAAATGGACTTGAAACCCTTATTTGGTGTATATGTATTTGTATTTGAAAATAATAGAATGGGTGAATTAACAAAGTTGATAATAGAGTCCTCTAAAATGATGCATCTAGCACAACACTAAAACTTTTTTAACAGAAAATTATGACAAAATTTCATTTCACGTCTAGCTTTATTTTTTATGTAAATTCACCTTTTTCAAGCTGCACGTCCTATATATTCAATTCAAAGACATTCTACCTAATTTATCATTAAGTTCATTATATGTATTCGTGTCATGTTTTTCACTATTACATAACAGTGTTAGCCAATTTAATTCTCACCCCCAGAATTCATATGAAACTATAGGATGTATAAAAACTGCACTAACTGACTAAGTAAACTGTCCCAAATATACTTAAAATATAAGTAAAACCAATAAAAACGGTTATTAAGACATAAACTTGGAATATACAATTCGAAACCCTAATTCGTTTTTGTTAGGTTAGGTTTATATTGCTTTCAATTTCTTACTGCCATCCAATACTTCACACTTTCCCTTTCATCAAACCCAATTTTCATCAAATTTTCCAAAAGCATAATAAACACGCAATGCAGAAACAATATTTAAAATCAACCAAAAATGAAACAACGTGTAATTGTGTCGTCGGTACCGAACGAGTCAACAAAAACCGACTCCCGTAAACATACTCCCAGTTCCCTGGAAAACAGCCTTTTTTCAATCGGCCGCGTGCTCAGTTCTCAACTATCCTCATGCCGCTCCGGGCGAGATTTCAAGCTCGATTGTTTCGAAGCGAACGCCATTCGAAGAACGTGTTACATTTGTTTTGTTCGCGTAGAATGATTTCCTATGCAGTCGTGCGGGCCATTCAACCTCGCACGCCCTATATATTCACAGTGTCGTCGAACGAAAAACGATCGAGCCTTTCACTGCATATTTCTATCATTCTTCCGCCTCACGGGTCCCGATATCGATTTCTCATCGGTTTTCGTGGGTCGCGCCGCGATATCTGCCGCCCGCTTTGATATCCACCGATACGATAACGTTACTTTCCATTATCTGTTCCAGAGTTTACGCAACATGATGACAGCGAACGCGACGGACGCCTGCGAAACGCGCGATCCCTGCCAGCACGACGGGATCTGCATTTCCACCGATAGCGGGCCCATCTGCGAGTGCCGGTCCGGCGATTATGAGGGCGCCTATTGTGAAAAAGGTTGGTTGTTTTTCGGATTCTGATACGCCTCATTGTTCACGGTACCGCGCGTGCGGACATGTGACATTCATTCCGCCGTGGAATTATCTGTTCGCTTTATTATTCACGGAAATTGAACGCGCTTTTTGTAAACTCCAAATAACTTGATTTATTTAAATTACAGTGAACTATTCAGATAGCTGATCCTTGGAATTTAAATTCTGTGGCGACTTTAGTCGTTAAAATTGTGTAAACAAAAATGTATAAACATAAATTAAAAATGCTCCTGTACTTACGGAGTCTCGTTGCTGACTGAGTGCTAGTTCATAGAAAACTCTCGTGGGGCGTTTTCGACGACTTCCGGAAATCTTTGAACTGAGTAATTTTCCTATTGGCGGTTTAATTAAACGGATTTTTCATTAATCAAACGGGATACGCGTATAAGTACATTATTTTGGTGCATAAGCCCCTTATTTTGGTACGGGACTGTCCGTATTTCTAGCGAAAAGGGGTCCGCAGGTGAAAAAGATCTTAGCTGCTCGTTCGGAACTTCTCGGCACGTGTTAAATAACTTTACGAGCAGCCATTCTAGAAGTAATCTTCTAGAAGTAATTAAAAAAATCGTGAATACCAACAATGAAACAGTCCCTGTTGGTACAGGGATGTATAAAAATTTAAAAGGCTTTACATAGGCTGTGATTCCTCGTGTTGCATTGTGGAAATTAAAGAATCTTCTGGAAATCGCCGTCGCCGCCCATGGTTTTGAATCTCTAACACATTTCGTCGAAAATACCCGTAATGCGACGTGTTTGCGCCCTTTCGAACGAAGTTTCTTTTAACACCTTCCTGTGGGAGTTTCTTATCATTTGATTTGTTTTATTTTTGATACTAGGTTTATGGAATCCGTCGATTCGTCGAATTTGATATTTTGTAAATATTGTTTAGTGAAGGTTGATGAATTGGACTGTTCCAACTGTGCGAGTTGGAGATCTTATCCTCTGTTTTTGAAGCACTGACTTCTCAAATCTATGTGAATGAATATTTTAGGAACATTATAAAGAAATAATGAATGTTCGTAAATCTGCTATTAATAAATTTGAAAGAACGTGAAGAAATTTTTGATTTATTGTAAGTGAAGATTTACTTTATAGGTAACTTATTGATAATGCCAAAATTATTTTATTTAGAATCAGTTGCAATGAGTAACATTGATTTTTATTAAATTGAGCTAAAAATCTTCATTACAAGATAGACTTGTGATTACACGGTAAGGGGTTAATATTTATCAATATTTGTTGATGTCCAATCATTTTTAACAAGTCGCCTGGAAAAAATAATGTTGTTATAGACCACTGCCTGATTTTGTTCTAGTAGATTAGTGTACATTTAAAATAAATATATGTTAATTACTTTATAAATGACTGTGTAAAAAACACTAGAATCGAAGTGAAAAATGTACGTTTGTACAAAATAGTTTATTTTGTAGCTTCAAACATTTCGCAAATCGTACAGAGTCAGATCTTAAGTCAGTCAGTCGTACAAAAGACTTCATCAAACATGTGTAAACATTCGTGTTAAAAAGTTATACGTCGTTATCAAATATTTTATATTATATAACAAGCTCAAATCAATCTCGAGCAATTTAATTCGAATCTCGGCCTTGAAACGTTAAGAAATTCATTAAAATATTTGAATGAAACAATTGTTCGTAAAACAAACGTGTACCAGTTGTTGAATAGACTTATTCGAATCTCTTGTGTCAACTTCTTCAAACAGCTGCAAATATTTACGCAATTACTTTATACGCCGTTCAAAGCGCAACAATATTGCTTTGACAAGCATTAGTAAATTAAAATCTTGAGTACTACATTATTGTATAGACTAAAAGTTTAGTTTTACAATACTTTTTCTTACGTCATTCCGTATAATTTTACTACATGCATTAACGTTACAAGATGTAAACAAATTGTTACTCCTTTTACAATATTATTGAATATTCATCTAATAGTATATAACTCACATACCTAATATGTCAAAATATCGTAATAACTTCAGCCAACAGGAACATCCAATTACGAATTATTCCATGAAGATTTAACAATAACATAGTTCATATATAATCTGCATTATTCAGGAATTTATTTTCTTATAAGAGAAAAAACAGCAGGAACAACAACTGTGGCAGCCAAAAATCTCGATCCTTCGTATTTCGATTGACCTATAACAACGCATGATCGAATTTTAATAGTACTGTTTCCAGTTACCGCCGGTAAGAATGATTTATCGGCGAAGCCGCGACGTCCAATATTTTACTAATATTTCACAAGCCCTGTGTACAATCCAATTAATCGCGATCCCGATACGACCTCTTTTCGCAATCAGCTTTTTGCACCACTACACTTTCCGCACTGTTAATCCGTTAATGTCGTGCTACCTGAAACTTTCGTAAAAGCGATATTGATCATAGTGACGTGACGACTTCCTCCCTATCAGTGTCCGATGTAGTTGAATTTTAATCATTTATATGTATCGATTCGTTTTTTGATTACTAATTTTTTAATTCATGTCCCCCGGATCGGATGAACTCGGATCTTGTGAGATAATTATAATTATTATCAGGAACCACACGAATTTTGTTCATGTCACTTTCTTTATGTGACAGTTTATTTATAATCTAATCTCTTTTATGGTAAGAAATATTGTGAATTATTAATTCATATTGCAAAAATGTTGTTCACATTTTACTTGCGTTAAAGGTATCGGGGATTATTAATTGAAGTTAGGAATAGTGTAGTTTTACGTAATTACATTCATTAATGTAAGAGTTACCAAACAAATTTAGGAACATTTCATTTATTTTGCGGATTTTTGTTCTACAAATGGATGAAGGAAGGATACAAAGATGGAAACTTTTAATTAAATATCCCACAATGCTGAATTAGTGCTTGAAACTTCAGGCAGAAATAAATTTGAGTATTTGTTATATAATTGAAATGTGGAAATTATTAATAGATACTCTTTAGTTTAATTATGGACCTAAATACGAGACTGAAAGTATATGAAACAGCTCTTGCAATCATCTACTTGCGTGTGTGTAGATTTTATATGAACTTCTGACATTTCGACGTTTCAGTCGGAGTTATGTTGATATTGTTAAGTTCATTCAGTACAAACGATACATATCTAATAATATAATAGCACGAAACGATATAAAATTTATGGTGTTTATTTCGAGATATTAATAATATGAAGTCATACTAATAATAATTAGATTAATAATACAACGAAATGAATAATAAATCTATGGTAACATGTTTCAAAACGTAATAGTCTTTCATTTTAATCAGTTTAAGTAGAAGCATTCCGCTACGGTCAGACAATTTTGTCAGTCGTACCCCATACCATACAGGCAAGATAAATGATCAAATTTGATTTCTTCCGAAAAAGTCTCGAAGAAACGTTACATTTTAAACCAAAAATTTTTACAAAATTTTGAGAGTTCAATTGTTCATCTAAGAATTTCATCAAAATATTTTATTCAAATTCATTTATTAATATTTCCAAAATTTTAGTTAAAAACTCTATAGAATTATATATACAAAAATTACTTATTAATGGTAATTTCTATTTAAAAATTAATGCATAAAAATAAAAATTTGCGAATATTTAATCCGATTTGTTTTAATTCAATTCCTTATACGTAAAATAGGAACATATTAGGAGACATCTTCGTGAATAACGGTAAACAAATTTCACCGGGGCTGTGCCGTAGAGTCTAATTCAATATTCGCCAGATCTCAATCTGCCCCGCTCAATTATACGGATCCGTGGACCGTTTCTGCTTTTTTTCTTCCGAAACGGCTCTGAAGATTGCAAGATCACGCCCCGGCAGATTTAAAAGACCGGGAACCGCGCGAGCGGTTCTGAGCGAAATTCCATGTTTCTCCCTGGATAAGCAGCAGCCAGGATTTACTTTAATTGCGATTTACTATGCAAGATAAAACTCCGAGGCTCAGGATGCACTCACGATCACGCGTGCTAATGCCGTCCAACCGGTTCTGAGTTAGGACCCTCCTCCTTGACGTTTGTTTTCCTGAAAAAAGGTTTCATTCCCCATTCCAATAGAATCGTGGGCATTAATTTATTTTGGAAAAACCATGGACCATTTTACAAAATTATTTCATTGAGAAATAAGGCAAAAGCATTAATAATTGACCATTTAAGAAAAATTTTCTATGAGAATAATGGTAAACGTTTACTCCTTTATTAAATACAGAGACTCTATGCATGATAATACTGTTTGAATTTCTTACATTTTTTAATGAAGCAAACTTTTTTGAAATAGTTATATTATCCACATTTGATTGACATTTTTGTAAATTCAATACTTGCGTCAGAAGTTGAGCATCCTCGAAAACGAGAAAAGTAGTAATTGACTATATGTTAGTTACTGGCTGATCATTTACAGTAAAACCAAAAACGTCAAAGATGACTACTTTAATATCGTCTGTTTGCAACGATTGTGAGAAATTACGAGTAAACGGACAAATACAAATGAAAAGAAGTTGATTCCATGTTGGATATTGTAGGCATACAACCAACGTTAATGAAATAAATTGTTAGTTTTTACGATACACGATTTAATCCAGGTAAAAGTGTTTCGGAGTTGCGTCGGTAGATGTTGCAACATATATATCGCGTCTTTATCGAAAGATTAGTACTTTTAAAAACCTTGTTTTGTCCGTTTCCCTGAACAATGATCAACTATTGATAAATTACTGATCAATTACTGGTACCTTTACCTTATACAACTCGAATCCATAATGTATTTTAAATGGGACAAATTACAAATGTAATCAGCAAGATGCCAAATAGTTAATGTATAGAAACAACAATATCTAAAAATATGAATATAACTAAAAATAAAATCGATAATTATATGAATAATTCATCACGATGAACACCAGCAGATTCAAATTCGCACGTATTGGTTAAATAAATTCATATTTCGAATTTTTAAT